ATCAACCAATCAAAATATTAAAATATGGCAATTGAAAATATGAAATGGAAACTTACTCTCACAGGAATATTCAGGTCCTGCCAGGCCGGACCACTCCCCTGTCCGGCCTCCTCCATTTGGGGGCCTTCCCGCTGGTATTCCGGACCAGTTAACTTGCAAAAATGATTTGACGACCTTCCAGATTGAATTTTTTGCTGAAATTTGGTATGAAAGAATTAGACTTGATGAGGAACATACACAAAAAATTTGAGCAAAAAATAACAACAGGAAGGCCCCAAATGAAGGAGGCCGGACAGAGCTCGGGTCAGGAAGGGAGGGACATGAATAGCACTACTTACTCTCATATGACTGAGTAACTACTCTTTAGTCCCAGTCGAATTTTGAGCTGGAGCAACGCTGATCAGTGTTTTCTTTTTGTTTCTTTTTAAAATTCAGAACAGTTCACTCTTTACTCAAGGCGGGCGGTGCTTCGTTAGCGATTGATCAGCAAAGCAAGATGAGTGAAACATTGAGCGGAAGTGATCCTTCCGTATCGACGGAAACGCCGCTTAAGAGCGGCAATGTGTTTGATGCGAGTAGAATTGCAGAAGTAAAATCGTGGCTGACCTCCCAATTCGATGCCGTTGGGAAGGATGTCCCTGCTTTCGAATACACCGCACGAAGCGTTGCGCATTTGCACAACATCGCAACCGCCTCCCAGGCCAAAAATCAAGCCGCTGGGATTGTAGCTAAAGATTTCCGTCAAAAAGCTGCTGAATTTAGGTCTCAAGGTGCCACTACGATCTACCTTCTCACCGTTTAATGCAAACCTATTTTTTTTTTCTTTATGATCGGACTGAACTGTTCCATGGCAAGCTGTATTGTAATTGACTGGCTGAATCTGCCATGACTGTAGCTGCTAGGATAAGAGAGATATTAGAGAACGTGGGATTGGGCCAAGAGAGTTTAACCCCGAATGTGGTTTCCTCCGCACAAGTCCTTGCCAGCATGTCAAATTTGTTGAATATTAGAGATACTGAATTGAGTAGGTGGGCGAGCTTGTGTTGTTACATCTCTTGTTTTCCTTTTCTATTGGTTTTTGCTGCTTCACAGTCTTAGCAAAGCAAAAAATTGTAGCTTTCTTGTAGCAATAGCAGATCTATCTCTAAGGAAAACAGCAGTTGAAGAGAAGAGGGCTAAAGTGCAGCAGGAATCCAAAGCTCTTCTCGATTATACTCGAAAGGCAATATCAAGATTGACTTATTTAAAAAGGTAACTATAGATACATTCGTTTTGATGTGTTCTTGATCAAATGTTGTGCTATTTCTGAGGATCATTCAAATGATTTTAAGTTTGGAAAAGGTTTATCAGTATCTGGTTTTTCATGAGTGCTTTTGAACTATTATTATTTGGTAGAACACTTGCACAGCTGGAAGATGACATTTCTCCCTGTGAAGCACAAATGGAAAACTGGAAAACAAACCTGGCAGTTATGGAGTCAAAAGAGAGACAATATTTTCAGCAGTATTCTAATTATAAGGTAACTTAATGCTTTCGTTAAACATCATTTCACGGTTAAAGGATTAGTTTCCAACCATCTAAAGCTTCATTTATTTTCTTTTCAATTTTGTTAAAGTAGTGATTTCAATGAACTTCAATGACTGATACAAAATTCAGCTTGGGACATAATTGATTAGCTTTGGTGTTAATTTTCGTCTGAGGGAAATGCAGATCATTGATATACACTGATGGCTATATGGCAAACTTGTATGGCTTAGAGTTATGCTTAATATACCAAGCCAAATGCAAAGAGTTTTTTTAAATATTATTCTCAAATGAATATGTTTAGTTCCATTGGTGAAGGCCTGCTTACTATAGCTGCTGTATTTGTAAATTGTTTTTAAAAATATAGAAGGATTAGTGAATAAGTTCATATAATGTTTATGAATTATGATTAATGGAATTATGAAGCCAAATGCTAGATGACTGAGCAATTAGGTGAAACTCATAGTACATGAGGCGTTGCTGGACAGCATTTGTCTTCTTAAAAAAAATAGTCCATATATAGATGCAGAGAGTTATACCTTTTTGTCATATACTACGTAGTAAGGAAAATGAGGGATTTGGTGTTAGCAAGCTATTGCAGGTTTATAACTATCCCTAGCATTCCTTTTTGAGAAGTGCTTTATTATTTGCTCCACTCTCCTTATTTATAAAGTTTTACCGTATCAAGATATACAAATATCTGGAGTTTTTATCCTCTCTAATTTTCTCTGTATTTTCGTCCACTCTTGCCTAGTATTGACTACTCTATTTTGACTCTTAAACTCCGCAAAACCGTACTGGATCATATTAAAAGGCAGAGTATAAACGTGTGTGTATATTTGAAAGTAGAGGGTTGTTTTGGTGGCCAAAGTGGTTTGCCTGGAAATTAGAAGAAATGTACAAATAGAGCCTGTTTAAGAACCTACTAGAAATTTCAGTTGTTTCTGAAAATGCAGTCATATCGGATTATCCGCTAGCATTCTGCTTTTATAAGGACAACATTTTCCCCAAGTTTCAGCTTATTTTGAGAAGTTGGAATCTGTAGCTTAGGATTATCATTCAACAATATTTTTATTTCTGTTTCTCTCATACCTTATTTTGCTTCTAATACAATTATGCAAAAAAGCAAGCTTTTACAACTCCTTTTACAAATTCAACCCAGACAAACACAAATCTCGATTTTAATTAATTACAATATATTACAATACTAACCGAGTATACCGGCACACACACTCCATCCATCCCAAAATGTAATTTACATTTAGGGTTGAATCATGTTATAGGAAAAGAAATGGAAATACTTTTCAATTGATAAAGTTAGATAAATGAATAGTAAAAAAGTGAAATGATAGATAAATGAATAAAGTGAGCTAGTAAAAAGCTAGTACAGTTCATAGCGTTCAATTTAGGAGTGTTGATAGTTTTGGGACAACTAAAAAAGATGAATCTTACAAAAGGGGTATTTGTTATAATCAGTTATTGCAATAATCTAATACTCTATCGTTCCCATAACACTTGGCCAATTTTGACTTGGAGGTGGGATAATAAAATAAAAACCGTGTAGTTGAGGTTTGTGCAGAGAGAAGAGAAATAAGGTTGAAGTTTGTGTAGAGGAAAGAGAAATAGTAACATGAATCACAAAATTGTTACTTTAAAAGGATATGCCAGTTTTTTGGACAGCTAAATAAATAGGTTGACAATGTTTAGTGGGACGGAGGGAGTAATATATTTCAGCTATCCCAAACACATAATAGGGTGGTGCATTTCAATCTTAATTTTAAGATGTACTTAATAATGTGCAGGCAATGCTCAACCGTGTTGGCTATACCCCGGAGGTAAGTCATGGAGTGCTGGTTGAAATGGCAGAGCACAGAAAGGATTTGGAGAACAAAACAAAACCCATTCTCGATACCTTGAGAAGCTACCAGGACCTGCCCCCTGTAAGATCTACTGAGTTTTTTAATCTTTTCTAATTTCCTTCATATGCTTTTCCATTGAATTTTAGTCCTTACTATGATGATGTAGGACAAAGCATTGGCTGCACTGGCGATAGAGGAGAAGAAAAGACAGTACACTGATGCAGAGAAGTACCTTGATGATATCTTGCAGTCAGCTCTTGGTTCCTCTGATTGAAATTAAATCAAGTTTCTTCAAAGCATATTGGTAGGCATCATTAGTCCTTATTTAAGAACACAAGGCAAGTTCAATTTCCCACTTTTTTTTTTCTTACAGCCAAAGCTGTGAACGATATATGGTTTTGGCTAAGGTTTAATTAGCCGCCAGCTTGCAGGTGATAATTTATATTTATGATGATAATTTTAATTGGTTGTACTAGTTGTCATCTTTTGTAATATCAAATCAAGTGATAAGCGTGAGTGTGAAGGACATTGGGAAAAAATATGCATTTCCTGGAGACGTGTAGTAGAATGTTATTATTCCCAGATCAATATATGGGTCTCCCAGAGGCTATTTGCGTGCTTCAATGTATTTAATTGGGTTGATTTTGAACTGAACTAAAAGGCTACTTAATGTAACATATAGGCATGTGTCCAAACTTGATAGTTATAACATTGGAGGCTTGAGCACATATTCTCTATCAATATCTATTTCTATTTAATACTACCCCTATTGTACTCCCTTCGGAACAACATAAACATGTCACGCGCATCATGACGAAAGTGTATTTATGCGATTTATTTTGACTGTGAAAGTATGAATATGATTGTGGCATAACAAATATCACTAAATATAGCAACGGTCAAACTTTGTGGGTCGGATAAAAACGGGATAAAAATAGCGGTATGTAAGAGGTAATGCTTAGTATACCACTTACAATTACCAGATTTGTTCTTCCTATATGTAATGCGTAGTACTACGCAATACTTAACTTAGGATTGTAAATATACAAGCCGTACATGAATCAAAGGCCGTTTCTCTATTTTGTGAAAATGAGGTGCAAAATGCAATGTTCAAAGTTACTGTCGTGTTTGAACAAGTTTTTCAAAATTTGGAAAACTTGATATTACTTCCATATCATAGAAGAACTTGTATTATTTTATTGCAAAATTTTAAATATTAATCCAAGGGCATCCTATAGGATTTGTAAATTTTAAGGGGGTGTTTGGAACTAATTATGCTTCTTGTTTAAAGTCAGAATCAGTTTTCAGAAGCTGGTCTCTCCCAGCTTCTAAAAAAACTGATTCAAGGAGTAAATTAGAGCATCAGAATCACTTCTGCACTTTCACCCAAACACTCTGAAGGAGCAGAAGCAATTTTAAGAATCAGATCTAAACATCCCCTAAATATCCGTCATATGGGGGGGATTCCGGCCAGTTACAATACATCTCAGGTTCTTGAATTGGCTTTGGTGTTGTTTTATTGCCCGATTTTTCGAATGCAAATAATCACAGCCTTTTCAGGTCCATTTTGGAGTAACCGGAAATGTACCAAGGATGTATCAGGACTCAGGAGTCAACTTAAAAGGAAAATGGGTACCCTTGAGGAAAATGAGAAACGAGCAAGATGCTAACATATATATGCACACCATGATTTATTTGCAAAAATACAACATAATATAACTAAAAACCAAACTAGCACAGATTCTTTAGCCAATCCATCAGCAGAAACTCAGTAAGCCACTAACCATTAAAATGGTAAGGTAAATTGTAAATTGTGCAGAGTAGGAGTGTTATTGTTCAATTTTTCTTTTATGGTTTACAGACATTCATTCATTCCAAGTTCCCAACTTTCCCAATCCTGAGATAAACAGGAAATGAAACAATCTTCTTCTGACCTTCGCCGCCTTCATTCCAAGCTCTTGTGAAGTCTTCAACAATATCATTTCCCAGAAGCTCCACACCCTTATTTTTCGCGGTTTGGTATGCCGAAGACGACCTTATGTACGTGAAATAGCTCTCCAGCTCCATCAACCTCTCCGCCTTGAATTCAAAAGGCCCGTTCCCCTCACATCTGTCCACCGGTTCAAATGGGAAATCAATGGTTCTATACCTCTCGTCCACCAGTTTCCTCGCCGGGTCCCAGAAAGGACCCGAAGAAGCGTAATATCTATGGAAAACGGAGTCTACCGAGTCGCTGACCTGTGGCAAGTGGTAGGACCACGCCGCGATGACCCCGTCGGGTTTCTTGAGTATCCATTTCACTTGCTGGTAGAAGGTGGGGAGATCAAACCAGTGCAGGGCTTGCGCGACTGTCACTAAATCGACGCTCGATTCCGGCCCAATGTTGGTCTGCAGATCGGGTAGTGACATGTTCGGCGGGGTGCAGACATACCGGACGTTAGGCAGTTCTGGTGCAAACTGGAGTTGGTTTGGGCTGGTGTCTGTGCCAACCACATTCTTGTATTTCTCAGCTAACTGTGAAACAAAAAAGGATTATAAACTAAAGGGCTGATCAACAGCCAATTTACATAATTAGGACTTGATTGGTTCATGGCTTCATGTATATATGCAGAAATAAATGGTAGATTGAAAACATAATAGTAAATGATCAGGACAAAGTAGATTGAAATCAAAGTAAAACTCGATCAATTCATCAAAATACTTATCCTTAAATGTACTCTACCAAACATATATAGCCTTTTAAAATCTTTTTTATGGGTGTGGATGAATAATATAAAAATGGGCAGGCCAGTTAAAAGTTAATTACTACGTATTACTTACAGAGATGGCAGCCTGGCCGCTGCCGGTGCCGACGTCCCAGACGAGGTCGCGGCGAGGGGTTTTGGAAGCGATGAAGTCGAGGAGTTGGTGGGGGTAGGTGGGTCTTCCCTCCGAGTACAGCTTCGCTTGCTGTAGGAACAACTTTGCCATTTTCTTTCTGCTTTTTCTGTGTCCTTAGAGAAATACTCCGTAATAGGTTTTCAGCCAAATGTAAGTATCTATATTTGGGTGGGCACTGGGCAGGGTAGGATTGGCTGGGAGTGTCCACTTGCTCCGTTGCGTATGCATTTTTGCTTTCCCCAAGACTTCCGCGAACGTCGTGCGTTTGGAATGTTTCTTGTCTATTTTGTCTACTTTGATAAGTAAAGCAAAACAAAAGACTTTATATAAACTCACTTTTATTGATAACTGTATCATCTCCTTATGTCTCAAATTTGTAAAGTTTGTATGATTCTAATTGATTCTAATTGTATTTTTATTTTATCAATTCAAAATCAATCTCATAAACTCACTTGTATTAGTAACGACATCATCTCCTCATGTCTCAAATTTGTAAAGTTTGTATGGTTCTAATGATTCTAATTGTATGTTTACTTTATCAATTCAAAATCGATTACATAAACACACTTTTATGAATAACTGCATCATCTCTTCATGTCTCAATGTTAGTGGAACAAAGGTAGTGCTACGTATTATATTGCACTTTTACTCGCACGGGTAGCTCAACGGTGAGTGTCGACTGAGTGAGATAGTGTATTTGAAGTTTCAAATTATAACTCATATTTCTCTCTTCTTACTTTCTTCAACATTGATAAGTTTTAAGAATGGAGTATTATTTAGGAGATATTCCGTTTGGGTGCTCATGCAGAATTAATTAAGGATATGCAATAAAGAATAAATTAAAAGTGCACTAGTGTTTTCTTTACATATTATTGGCCCAGCCAATAATATTTTCATAATTGAATAAGAGTAGGAAAAAAGTAAATAATTCTTCTTTGCTAAATATAAAGTGCCCCCAATTAATCACTTCTCTTGCCCACAAGATGGAACATGTATATTAAAAAAATTAAAAGTTTAACTCACATTAATGAATAAAGTATAATGAAATTTAAAGTGAACTTGAATCAAATGAAGATCAATTTTCTTTAGCAACTCACTAATACTAATTTGAAGTTGATTACTTAACGGTTTTAGGGTAACTCCAAAGTGGAATATTTTACTCATTGGCGTTCCTTTTTTTGAACGGTACTTATTGACATTCCTGACCAAAAACTGTGATTAATTTAAATCATTAATACAAATAATTACTATTTAGTGGCATATTTATCATAATTTATTCAATAAAATTTCAGTGCAACAACAAATTAATCATTTTACTTGTTTCTTTATGGGTTTAATTGTAGGGTTTGTAAAAAAAATACATAAATACATAAATACATATAATGAAAAACAATAGTGGAAAGATGAAAATGTAAAGAAGTCGAATTGAAAAAATAATCACTACAAAAAAACACGGGATTGACAGGGATTCTTGGCAAAAAATTTCTAAAATTGGCAGCGATTTTGGTACTGATATGCCAAATCCGTGACAAACACAGTTTCGCACAAGCTATTTGGCACGAAATTGTCGAAAAATCTTTGCCAAACCGTGTCAATCCCGTATTTTTTGTAGTGAATAATGGAAAGATGAAAATGTAAAAAAATTACAAATACGTACCTAAAGATCTACATACAAAATGCCCAAAAGATCTGTATACAAAATTAGTAGGGAGTATAAAATAGTAAGTGTTGGGTAAATGGCCCAAATAGGGGGTCGACTCATTACCCTTAAACCGGACGAACGTCTTGGGCCATGAGAGTGCACGGCCCATGAGTACTGGGCGACGAACGTCGCCATCCATGATCCACGCCAATAGGTGATCCATTACAAGCAGCACCACAAATTCTACCAAGGGCCGGAATACGAACGGCCCGCAACCCTTTGCAGCATCACTAGGAGCAGGCCCCAGATCCAACTGGACGTCCGTCTCCACAAATTAGGCGGGAAACCCAGATTCTGGCGGGAGGCGCATTTAATGCTAGAGATTTGGTGGTTGAGGCATCAACCATTCACAGCCTTCCACATCAGCATAGCCAACTGCTCACTGGTGGTATAAATAGTAGCATTTATTTCATTGTAAGAGGTTGACAACTTATCTGCCTTAGCACTCTAGCTTATACTTAGCTCTTACTCGCAGCTCTTCTACTGCCTTGTAAGACGAACAGTCACCGAGCCTTAGCAAGCATATTGTATTGGGGAGTTATTAACTGATTAATAATACCTGATCTTTTACTTGCTACTTATCGTCTCTTATTCCATCTTACTTGTGGGTTGGGCTAGTTTATTCATACACACATACACCACTCAACTCGAAATCTTTGGGCTTACGTGTTGGACCCAAAGATTGAAGGAATAAACCTCAACAGTAAGGTAATTTATCAATATCAAACTTTTGTGATTAATATAACTACAACTTCCAATTATAAAAGAGTATGCCACCAACAACTAATTTTTCTGGATCCGCCACTAATTGGCCGCCGGTGCATAACTTAATTGGTAGAAAGAGATGCCATATGGGAAGAGTCTCGAGTTCAACCCCAAACAAAGACTTGAGATTAAACCTCACCCTTTTTTCCATCAGTTTATATCAAATCTCTTCCATCAGTTTATATCAAATCTCAATTTACATTATGTTGTCTTTGATAATTGTTCGATTAGTTCATGCACCATCCACCAATAGTATCATGCACGAGTAAGACATAGTTAGAAACAAAAGTTAAAGATAGATGGTTATAGATATTCCCTCCGTCCCTTATAACTTTTCCAACTTCTTTTTTTGGATGTCACATAAGGATGTTTTTACTTGGACTGTAATTTGCTGATTCGGTCTGGTCTGATCTGGTATCTTTGTATTTTTATAATTATCCAAGTCTGATCTGGTATGGTCTGGTGTGGAACAGATTACAGTCCAAGTAAAAACATCCTAACTTTGCCACTTTCCCTTTTAAGTCAAGAATTTGTGATTCCAGTTAATTTTCTCTCCTTTGCACAAACTTCAACCACACAATTTTTACTTTATTAATCCTTATGCCTATCAAAAATGACAAAGTTATCAAGGACAGAGGGAGTAAATGTTTTGATTTTTTTTCTAACATATGCAAAAACACTTGTCAATTTCGCGATTTTAAATACAAGTATAAAACAAACATTTTTAAATTTGGAGCAGATTGGGTCCCAATTAGGCATTTAGGCCCTCATCTACCTATACTCCTAGCAGGTGATCTCCCAACCCAGTGGCGGAGAAAAAAAATCATGTTAGGGACTTGGGTCAGACTGAGAGTGTGTTTGCCATTGCTTAAATTAAGTGCTTTTTGCCTTTTAGATTAAAAAAAGCTAAAAGAAGTGTTTGGTAATCCCAACTTCTAATTAAAAAAAGCACTTTTAATCTAAAAGCTGGAAGCTGGGGTTTGGCTGCTTCTAACTGCTTTTAGTTTTTTTTTTGTAAATACAGCAAACTCCAATGGCATAAAAAACCCAAAATATCCTTAGCTTCTTCCGCAACAAATCCTTGTTGTCCCTCTCCCTTCTATAATTGCAAGGACCATCTTCCGATGGAGAAGCTGCGAGCAACAGGACTGCCGGAGATGGACAAGCCGGAGAAGCTACCCCACGACGGCGAGCCTCAAAACCAGAGATGACGTTCCACCTCAAGGCCTGAGTACCCGTTGATGGCTTTCCTGCCGGTCTTGAAGCTTGAAAATCGGAATTGCAGGTCTTGAAGCTTGGGGTTTGATTGCCGACACTCCTGTATTCTTCGTGGCGGCGTTTTTGATGGAAATCGGAATTTTGATTGCTTTGGGTCTTGAAGCTTGGAAATTGGAATTGCAGGTTTTGAAGCTTGGGGTTTGATTGCAGGTCTGGAAATTCACCTCTGACATGTTTCTCTATTTGGGGTTTGGGATTCTTCAGGTCTTGAAGGTTTGGGCGACGGCCGACGACGCACTTTACCGATTACGATGGGTGTTTGTAGTCTTACAAGGCCAAGGGTGTATTTGTAAATTATTAAAATATTATATCTCAAATCACTTTTTTATCAAACACTCCAACTTTTACAATTTAATAAAAATCACTTCTATTTCCAAACACTATCTACTTTTACTTTAAATCACATTTCCAAAAATCTCTTAAAAAAACTACTTTAAAAAAGCACAAGCAATCGCAAACACTCCTTGAACCATGTACAAATGTACTCCGTACAATATTAATAGGTCGAATTGTTCCGACTTCCGAGACAAAATTTCAGTGAGATAAACATTAATTTAATGAGTCCCGGAGTGAATTATTTATTTCAAACATAGTACGTACTACGTATGTAGTAGTAATATTTTACAAACTTCCCATAATAAAGAAGTGAATAAAACATTATTTTGAAATGGGAAACACAAGTGGTATTACTGATCGACTTGTGTCTATATTAAGTTATATTAAGTTTAAATGATACTAATTTTTCAAAAGTCATAACTTTTGAATCGTAATTAGTTACGGAATAACAATATATCAAATGGGTCGTCTAACCATGGAGACCACTTGGTTCCGTTCCCACTTTCCCAATTCTTAGAAAGACAGGGAAACCAACAAGTTTATGACCTTCCCCATTTTCATTCCAAGCCCGTCTCAGTTTCTGGACCACATCTTCACCCAACAGCTCCACACCTTTGTCCTTGGCCGTTTGGTAAGGCGACCATGACTTCAACATCGTCAAAAGCCCCTCCAAATCCATCTCTTTCTCCGCTCTGAATTCCAACGGCCCGGTGCCGCCTCCGCCTCCGTCGACCGCCTGGAACGGGAAGTCGATGGTCCTGTACTCTTCGTCCACCAGCCTTATGCGCTTCTCCATGTACGGCCCGAAATCCGCGTAGTAAAGTTTGTCGAAAAGAGCGTCAAAGGTCGCGTTGACTCGGGGTGACGTGTAGCACCAGGCGGCGATGACCCCGTCGGGTTTCTTGAGGAGCCATTTGGCCTGGGCGTAGAAGGCCGGGAGGTCGAACCAGTGCATGGCTTGGGCCACCGTGATCAGGTCAAAGGTTGACTCTTTTCCGACGAGGGTCTGGAGCTGGTGCATGGTCATGTTGGGAGGGGTGCATTTGTACGTCACGTTGGGGAGAGCCGTCGCGTACTCCAATTGCTTCTCGCTCGTATCCGTCGCCACTATACTCTTGTACATGCTTGCTAGCTAATATGGGAAAAGTAACCAATTAAATATTGGAATCGAAAAAGGTAGATTCTATGGTACCCATAAAAGTACCATACCTTTGTTCACATGAACCAATGAGAATGTTACAGTTGAATTATTTAAATCTAAATTAAAAATGATAAAGTGATGTGGTCCAATCAAATGAATAGTAGATACAGTACCCATTTTTAAAAGGGTACCGGAGTTGTCACCGCCATCGAAAAATTGTTCAAAATCATTCTACATAATTGCACTACTTTTAGCATTAGTATTTTCCCGCTCAAGTACTTACGTCATTCTAGCCGCACGATTTCACTTAACATGCACGGATCAGATCATTACCTGGGCCGCTCCTTCTATTTTCCAGCATCTTCTCCGATTAGGATCGGATCATCACATGATCGAGTATAGTTCCGTTTGCATCAATTTCACTTAACAAGGTGGACAGATCTAGGGGTGGGATTTTGGAACCGGGAACCGTAGAACCGATTGGAACCGAACCGTTAACAACATCTAGGAACCGAACCGTTAACAATTAATACCTCATTTGTAGGAACCGAACCGAAGCGGTTTATAACGGTTCGGTTCCCGGTTCCTATAAAAAATATGTGCATGGAACCGTTAAGGAACCGTTATTAAAAAGAATAAAAAATAAATTAATATTAGTAGTAGTAGTAACAACAACAACAACAACAATAATAATAATAACAATAATAACAATAATAATATTACAATAGAAATAATAACCATCACCACAACAATAATAATAAAACAATTTAAGATATTTAAGTAACAATTCTAATTTAATCAACGAAAACGAAATAATAAATATTGTACATGAGTTTGATATAATACATTAAATTCCTTTCTACAAATCAAGTTTTGTTCCATCACATAAATTTTATAAATATAAAATAACCCAAATAACTTGTTGATGAATCAATGGAATGTAATAATGTTTTTTATATCTATACATGCGAACTCAATGTATTTTTTTATGTTTTGAAAGACTTGAAGTAGGCGTCCTATTCTTGCTACTATGATGACGAGTTACTTTCATCGCTCTCACACTACAGCGATTTTTATATTTTTATTTATTACATGAAATTTTAAATCATTTTTTGTTCTATTTAGTGTTCACAGTTCATTAGTTAAGTTTGATTTTTGATGTTTGAAGTGATTAGAGCTTCAAACAAAATTCTAATACTCGTTTTTTGAATTTTCGACATGTTTATGTTGTTTGTAGAAAGTAAATTATGTGTTAATTCTTAGAAGAGAAAAAATTATTCTAGGAACCGGTAAAAGGAAGAACCGAACCGTTTACTCCCGGTTCGATTCCATAACGGTTCTTGATTTGTTATATAGGAACCGAACCGATTTCATTAGTTAAAACTTTTATAACGGTTCCACTCATTTTGAGTAAGAACCGAACCGGTCCCAGCCCTAGACAGATCAGATCAGGATTAGATCATTACCTCGGCCACTCCTTATTTTCTCACATCTTCTCCAATATGCGCCATTTTGATTAGATTTCATCACATAAGATGGAGTAGTTCCGTTTTTGTCGATCATCAGCGCTAGGTAACATGTACTCCTTTCTACTTCTCATTTTATTAATCTCAATTCGTATTTTCATTCCATTCAATTTTTTCCTTTCTATTTTCAATTTTCTTTAGTGATGGGACTGATTATTACCGCATGATTAGAAGCATAAAAAATTACTTGCCGCTCTAAATTTGTATCTATTGCAGTCTTCACTGAATGAAACTAGGGGTGGGAAAAACCGACCCAAAACCCGATAACCGAACCGACCCAACCCGATATATGATATTGGTCCGGGTTTTATTTTAAAAATGACCGGTCCGGGTTGAAATACCCGACCCGAACCCGAAAACTCGGGTCCTAATTCGGGTTCTAAAATTTTAAGCCCGTCCCGGACTGAAAAAAACCCGATTTAATTAAGAAACTAAAATATATATACTTCGTATTTTATATAAAATATGTATGACCTATTAATACATCATAATGATTTATGTGAGAGAGAGAGAGAGAGAGAGAGATACATACGGATTATTTTATACTACATCCGTCCCAAATTGATTTGCAAAAATGACTTTTTTAGTCAAACAATTTTATTTTATTCAATTAATTTGGATGTCAATTTTTAATTATATTTAACTTGGAGTTTGCAACTTTGAATATATTTTAATGTAATTTGTTAATATGTAAATTTTAATTATAAAAAATTGAATGATGTATCAATATGGAGTATTTAACTTTAACATTGGTTGACCAAAAAATCTTGACTTTGTAAATCAATTTGGGACGGAGGGAATGTTGGACGGAGGGAATGTTACTTTGCTTTCGAACCAATTGTTCTTCTACAACATTTTCTATCATGTAATTTTTATATTCAAAATATACTGCTTTGATTTTAATATACTACGTATATTTTTTTGATTAAAAGTTTAGATGTTTGCAATTTTTGTTGTAATTGTTTTTAGATATATCAGTTCGATTTTTTGCGGGTTCAATACGACCCGACCCGAACCCAACCCGAACCCGAGGCTCTTAAAACCCGGACCAACCCGAAAGTATTGGTCCACCGATCGGGCCCAAAAATGTAGAACCCGAAACTTTTTGGGTTTTTTACGGTCCTAGCAAAAACCCGACCCAACCCGACCCGATCCCACCCCTAAATGAAACCTACCCAAAACCCTTAATCTATTCAATCCTTACAACCCATTTAGAAATTCTGCCAATTAATTTCATTTCATATACTCCGTAAGTAATTACGCAGAGAGTTGATGAAACATAATCAACAACACCATCAGGAAGGTGGATGTTCTTCATTCGCTAGCTGGACGCATATCACCATCTTCTTTCTGAACAAGGCAAACTCTTTCTTCCTAATCAGTTTCACAACACTAAATTTTATTTACCTGCTATCTTACGATTAGTTGATTAAATAGTTTGCCTTTTTATGTTTTTGATGATTTTTCCAGTTGATAGAAATAACATTTCAACACTCTTCTCTCTCCATCTCGGTGTTCATCCTCAGTTTTTTTCTTCATTTTAATTCTTCAACAAGGTCAACTTCATCTTTGTTCTGTCAACAAGCTAATGTAAGGTTTGTGCGAGTTCTAGCAGGAAGGATATCTTCGTCAAATTTAGATTCCTATTGAGAACGTAAATCCTTTGGCAATGAAATATCCTTTCAGCTCTACAACTCAGATTACTATTTAGTTTTCCCATCAATCATTCACTTCATTTTTTCGCGTATTTATCCGGAACCCGTTCAAATTTCTGTCTACTTCATTACAATTCATGGGATTCCCATTTCTTGTGTTTTTTCTTCCCAATCTAATAAGTTTCGTCGAATTTAGCAGCATTCGGACTGATTTTTTCACTTTTCAATGTTCTTCTATAGCTGCTTAGGGTTTGCTCACATTCTGGTGCAATGATTTCTTTACTAAATTCAGATTTCAATTGAGAAGTAAGGCATTTATAGTGAAAATTTGGTGTTTACTTTATCCTTTATTCCCTTCATAAATCTGCTGTTTTTTTTATTTCACTTCAATCATCAATTCAACTGTTTTTTCAAGTTATATCAACTCAAATTTTAGCTTTCAGGAGATTGCAATGTTACACATGGAAGAGGATGTTCACCCCTGCACCACATTGTTCTAGGGGTGTGTTTTGTTTATTTTCATTATTATTTTTTCCTTTTATGGCTTTCATGTAGGTCCAACTGTATTGTTGCTTTCATTCATTGATTTCATATAGTTAAGGAAATAAAGACACGGGCCTAATTCGGTGAAGTTGTAGATATTTTCAGTTTATATTTTCATTTTTTACCGTAGTATTGGGCTTTTAAAAATGTTTAGTTAAACCTCCAAGATGTGGTCTGTGGTCCACGGTGATCTACTGATCCAATTTTCAATAAAGTTTTAAGTTAACTAAGACAGTATTTCAATTCTCACTCATATCTCTAACTTAGGTTCCATACTCTTACAATTATTGGTTTCAATTTTCCTTGATTTTGCATTCTCATTAATTTGAAATCATAACAAGAGAAACATAGTTTTCATATAATCTTCCTTTTATTTTTGCGCTTATTTTCCTTGATTAACATGCATGGATGTGACTTATTGTAATTTTTAAAATAAAAAAACAATTGCTTTAATTTAGTTTTCTTTGTTTTCAGGTGATTTAACTGTAGAAGGATATTAATTTCTCCATGTTGGACTGTGCTTCAACAGACATGTATAAGTAGTTGAAGGTAACTTAATCATGAGAGAACCATGAAATATCTAAATGTATTGAAAGTAACGTAATATAGGTATATGATTAATCCTCCTACGTAATTGCGCTACTCTTTGGAGGAGCCGAGGAGGCATTTCCCGCTAAAGTCTAACAAGCATGCTAACTGCACGATATTACGTTTTCAGCTGTACGGCTCCAAATCAACCTGTACGCCTGTATGGCTTCTTCAGGCTGCACCATTTTTTCCCCTATCATCACAGAAGATTGAGTAGTTTTCTCTTGCATTGATCATGCTCGCTATATAGTTTTTACATGTTCAGGCGTGATTTCGATTTAGGTCTTCTTTTCTTCAAAACTAATCATTTGCTTCTCATTTTATCCATCGCATACCTTATTTTCCTATTTTGGTTTTGTTTTGTGCTGGAATTGACTTAATTTGTGTTTTCCACCGCTGCATAGGGTTTGTTCGCATCTAGACCAGAATGATTTTTACTTGAGAATTGAATTCAGATTGAATTTCCATCATTTGCAATGGAGCCAAAGACTCACTATTTTTCGACGCAATTTTCACTATGGGTCATCCGGAAACAGTCTTTTTGTGCTTTAGTACATGGGTAAGACTGCGTACATCCGACCCCCCCTACCCCACCGTAGGTGGAAAGCCTTTGCGGCACTGGGGTAATGATGATGATGAATTGAATTCAAATTGAGAATATAAGAAGTTTGATAGAGAA